ATAGTTGGGCTGGTTTCAGTACACACGTTTCTACAGTGGCATGCTTAGATGAGCTGCGCTGATTCGGCGTGGCGAATCCCGGCTGCAGCGGCTGAATTTCCCATGGAGGCGAAAAGGATCTAGGCCACGTGCTCAGGTTGGGCGCACGCTGGAAAACCCCAAGTGGTCGAAATTTTCGGAGCCCTTCACTACGGCGTCTCTCAGTCAATGCTCTTCAATTGGCCAATAGATGGTCTTCAGGTTATATATATGGGGATTTTGAATGTTAAAATCCACATATCACTCCATGACGTTACAATAATCTTGACGGGTGCTTTGCTTGTCATAAATTGCAGGCACATAGATAAAGCTTGGAGCATATGTCGGCGAAAAATTCGGAGCACACTGAACTCAGTCATGATGTATTAATTCGTGCTTATGGCTCAGTCAGACTTTTAAACAGCAAAATTTTCTTCAAATGTAATGACTCCTACCCAGGCTCACTAAAGCTTTTCTCAAGTGGAGCTACTCGACTGAAACTCACCAAAATGTCACTCACTCGGACTGACTCATACTCACACTCAATACTCTGTCGGAGTCAGGGTGAGGCTAAGTAAGCCGAGCCGTGCGCCTGTAAGCCTAGAATCAGCATCTTTGACCATTGTGTCAATGCTCTTTCATTTGCCAAAAGCCGGTCTTCAAGTTCATTGACTGAATGTACTTCACATCGTGCAGTCGAAACACAACGCCATCTATTTGCGACGTGCAAGACGGTGCGTGTCCTTTCTAATTTTTTCCAGGTGACAATAATTGACCGATACAAGCAGGGGTTCCACCTTTCTTCATCATTAACACCATGCGAGATGCCATCGAACCTTAGATGGCTTAGTGATGTCACCGCAAAGCATTCGTCGACTTGTTTCCTTTCCGCGACATCTTTACGCGTTGAAACTCGGTGCCGGCTTTGACGGATTCATCGGGCACTCTCTCATGTTACGATGCGATGGTTCATGACTGGGGTCTGTCGAATGCTAGACGACGACACAAAGCGGTCGTTAAATTGCAAACGTAGGTCTTTGAGGTGGTCTTGCTAACACTTCGGAAAGAACGGGTTGACGTCGTCATCTAGCTGGGAACCTCGGTTCGTCGAAGCAGGGTCGGAAGCTTCGAAGAAGGCGAAAACACGAATTCATACGTGTAGGCGAGCGTCGTATCAACGTTGAGTAGCCACTGTCAGTTATTTCAAAAGTGTGTATCAGTTTTCTTTTTGGCTTCACACTGCGGATGACTGGCCGACATTTTCTTGAGTTTCCGAGCAGTGGCACCTTAGTCCGGGCCAGTATGTAAGCATGGGGAACTGATAATATATCGTTGGTGTCGTATGGTGTATTTGCGCAGGTGAACTAAAAAAAGAAAGAGGAGAGCAGAAAATAGCAATTACAATACAAAGCAATCGTCCTCACCAAGGCACCGTTCTTGCTCTCCGATGCTTCCTCGATCCCCACCTATCTATTGGTACGTAGTATTGGTACGTAGCAGATTAGAATATGCAGCATCTGTTTGGGACCCTGGTCATGACTCGCTTATCTATGAATTAGAACGAGTGCAGAATCGGGCAGCGCGCTTCATCCTTTCAAATTACCATCGCACCTCGAGCGTCACATCAATGAAAACTACACTAGCATTACCCCTACTGTCTCTTCGCAGGAAAGTGTCTCGGCTGTGTATATTCCATAAAATTTACTTCACCAATCCGTTACTCAGAAGCAGATTATTGGTCCAACCAACTTACGTTTCCACTCGCATTGATCATCGCCATAAAGTAGGACTTCCTTTAGCGCACACCAAGTGTTTTCATGATTCATTTGTGCCAAAAACATCTGTATGTTGGAATCATCTTCCTTGTGATATTGTTGGTATAAAAGATGCTGCTTTATTTAAAATTGCCGTCACTAATTTTATTTGTACGTAGCCTCAGTTGAACCCTGTAGCAAGTGATGATTGCAATTTTTCTGTTGTTGTATTTTGCTTTGTATGCTGTACATGTATGTATGTACCCACTCTCCTCTGTAATGCCCTCGGGCCTTGAGGGTAACTGAATAAATAAATAAATAAATCTAAGCGGAATACTGACCATCGCATTTTCTGAGGCAGAGAGCTACGCACATATCGACAAAGTTAAGGCCCCCGTTTTACTCGCTAACGAAATAACCATGCACATTCATGGTGTACCTGCTTAAGTACTCAATAATACTGGTGCTGCCGTGTTTGTGCTCAGTGGTCGACTGTGCCGCAAGTTAAAGACGCTTAAGCTGCCGTTTTGAGACGTTTCTTTCCTCACGGCGCCTGTGCCGCACATTCAACCGTCGTGGTGTGCACAGTTTGTCTCATCTTCCAGTATTTTTGTATGTAGTCAAATTAGTTGTGCTTTTTCCCTGTTCACACGACATCATCTTGGGCTGGGACTTCCTTTCATTCATCATGTCATTGCTCACAGTGTACGTGCTAAGTTAGAGTTGTCGACGATGTGTGAAGTGTGCTGACGTCTGACAGACCTTCTCGCCAGTCATTACCTTCTCAGTCATCGTTGCTGCGGACACTCAAATCCATTCTCTATCGTGCGTTCTTGTGCCAGTCTTCTTCGATGGCGTACCCTCTGTCACCGCCATCTCTATTCCGTCCGTCGCCTTCGACTCTCGAAAAAGCTTCCGTGTCCCATTCGCAGTTGTCACCATATAAAACTCACGTGCCTCTCTATATATAACGAACCCGCTTCTTTCCCCAGCCATCTTACTCCAATGAAAATGACGGAGGTATGTGACTGGTCCAAAGATGATAATCATGAGATGCGTGTCATGTAATAACATGCTTCATGCCACGCTCACGATACACTCACGGTCGTTTCGCCAGCTTCAAAGATATTGAATTTCGAATTACGGGACGTGAATGAATGACGAAGGTATGTGATGGTGCAAACATGATAATCAAGAGATAAGTGTCCTGTAACAACATGACTTGCATGCTACGCTCATGATACGCTCACGACCATTTCGCTAGCTCCACATATAAGAAATTCGGTATTACCTGACGTGAACGAACGCCAAAAGTACATGACACGTTCAAACATGATAATCATAACATGCGTGTGACGTAAGAACTTTGCAACATAAAACACTCATAATGCCCTCGCGGCTGTTTCGCTAACTTCACATATTCCAATTTTCGTATCTCGTGACGTCACTAAACGACAAAGATATATGACACGTTCAAGCATGATGATCATAACATGCGTGTCATGTAACACATGACTACATGCTACGCTCATAGCGCACTGTCGGCCATTTCACTAGCTCCATATATACCAAATTTGGTATCACGTGACGTGAATAGGCGGCGAAGGTAAATGACACGTGTAAACATGATAATCGTGACTTGCTTGTCATGTAAAACTTGACAACATCCTACGCTCATAGCGTGTTTGCGACCGTTTCGTTACTTTCACATATACCAAATTTGGTATTACGTGTTGTGAATAGACAACAAACCGGGATGTCAGGCGCAAACATAATATTCATGACATGGAAGTGATGTACGACACAATGTACGTCCACCTTATAACGTTGTGCTGATTTAAAGTGACATATAAACCTTCCTAGTTAGTGTTCGTATATCATCAATTTCCACTGTACGTAGGATCTGACAATTTTTTGTCTCATTCGTGCCCTCCCACTCTTTTATTTGCGTGCTATAAATGTCAATGATGTTTAGCACGTGAGCTGAATATTTTTTAAAACATTAGACATTAAATACATGGTGCACGAAAATGGTCTCTGTTTACTTTTAGTGGACTGGATAAAGTTATACATGTTGAATTGCCGTTGTAATCTATGAGTACCTTGCCTGTCATTTCATAAGAATTATGCCATGCGTTGCTTTCATAGCTAACATATTTATTTTTTACGCATCTATTATGCAGCATTCCAGGCCCAGGACCTCAGTGAGGACGACCTCAAAAGGGATCTCTTACATGGTCGGTGTGAGTGAACTTTAGGCCAAAGTCATACTGCCAACAACTTCAACAAATTCTCACCTTAAAAACTAAAACGCTTTGTCACATAAATGAAAACATTAAGGCAATCACGTGCGTTAACTCTTGAATGGCTGTCTTAAAACACGTTTATTTTTCTTTGCACCAGGGCGTTGCAGTCCACAGTAAAAGGGCACTATAGCAGGTTAACTGTTGAATATGTTGCATTGGAGGGACAGAATCAACCGAGTAGTCATACTGCCATCAGTAACATTAACATAGGACTAGCAAAAGCTTGAGTTTTAGCAGTAGTAGCGCCGCATACCACATGTAAAGGTGAGTGGAATGTTGATGGGTGGTTTTTCACTGTCACAGCTAGCAGTTTTATATGGTCAACGCTGTTTTGCGTTATGAATGTGCTGCCATGGTCATGAAGATGCCATTAAGTGGTAAGCTGAGGAGTGCTGTCCACCCATGTCGAGGTATATAAAGCCAGTTTTTAGCGGGGAAACATTTAACTGTCGAGCAATGTCCGCCATATTTCTCGATGACGATAAAGCTGAGGTTGATGAAAAACAAGCGTCTTCCAGATCAACCATTCTCTTTGTGCCATACCGACACAGCACATGCAAGGTACACTCCAGGCCAAAAGGGAGCAATAAGGATATATTGGTTGCTCTTGTAAGGGAGCAATTGCATTGTCACTCCCATTACTCCTCTAAAAGGAGTAATGGCAGAGGGAGGAACCGTTGCTCTCCAGTCAGTTTATCCTCCGGAGGATAAACAGTTACTACCTCGAGTTGCTTCCTGAAGACCAACCATTAATCCCACCAGTGCTCCCCTAAGACCAACGGCTAGTCTTCACCACATTTTCATGAGCCTATTCACCAGTGGGCATTCTAAGTGGCAAATAACACAAACCGTCCGTTCAGGTTAAAATATTTATTTAGCTCGTTCACATAGTTACTCTCGATTCTACTGTTCTGTCATACGCTGCTGCGTCATGAAATGTGCGATACCTGTAGGTACAAGCCAAGCATGCAAAGCAGTTTTGAAAGCAACCTTTTCCAGAGTCTACTTGATGATATTCAGTAAAATGTTTAGTAGCTGACGTAAACGTTTGGACAAAGCTATAGACACAATAAACACAAACAGTGCTACCTTCAGACAATGCTTTAAAAATAGGCATCTAGGGTGCACTTATTCATATGGTTGACGAGTCACAGCCACGAGGTCTGTGAACGAAACAATATCTTAAGGCATGCAGAGATATTCCAATTCGTTTTCCGACAGTGTCACAGATAGCTTGCCGATACACGTATATTCGAGCGAAACCATGTGTCAAGCTTTTAATATTTGAAGTCTTGTTGGTTCGCAAGCCGAACAGATTATTGCTCTTCAGGCCAATTGGAATAAGTTTACTAGGATTTTCCAAAAAAAATGAATTATTTGAAGTAAGCGCATGGATAGAATGTCTGCCTATTTATTTTGTACTGCCTTCTACATGTACGACAAAGACATTTGTTGAAGATGTGCTATCATTCCAGCCCACGTAGCATACTTGGTCAACGTTATGGAAATACAAAGATTAGGAACACTGCCACCTATAGCGCATGTCAACACTCGCGCCCAAGTTTCGCAAGTCATGCACTGTCGCGACTGCACCCACGTCTTCGTACAATATTACGCAATCAGACCACCACTGCAACCTCCTTACTGCGGCCCCTTTAAGGTTGTCAAGCGTTGCCGAAGCACTTCCTTCTGCTGCTTAATGGAACGTGAAGGCAGTGTCTCCATTGAACGCATAAGGCCGGCTTTTTTGGACACTGACGCCGTCCTCGTAGACTACAAGCCATCCACGCAAACAAGACGAACGCGCTTCCCAACAGCAGAACCTACAACCTGCTCAGAGGGGGCGCTCCTCCGCAGACCGGCTACCTCGCTAGAGGGGCGGGGGGGGGGGGGTTGCCCTATGGCAAGTCCGTCAGCGTCTCAGAGAGACGAAGAAATTGTGCCGCCGCTGCTGCCACGTGTGTTGATCAAGCGAGAGAGAAAGACGCCAGCAAGAACGACAGCGTCTGGTGGACGTCCAGTTAAGAGCAGGGATAAATAACAAACGTCGTTGGAAAACCAAACACCGCACGTCTCCTATAGTAACAGAATAACACTTCAGTATCTTAGACCAGCGAGCGGTTTATAGGAAACTTGAGAACACCCGTGAAGAGCTTAAAACTAGTATTTTTCAGAGTGGGACAGGTCAGGCGTGCAGTGGGATGAAATTCAAGAAACATGTGCAGAAAACGAAAGTAAAGGCGAGTTATGAAACGCTGTTACGAAAGGCCTGCGCACAGAACAGCTTGTGAATTTAGGCCCAGTGTTATGAATTCAGGCTAGGACTATCATCTTCTCCAATGTCTGGTACTAACTGTATTTTCATGTAAGATTCCATTTTCTCTACTCGCATGCTAAACGTGTCCACTTTCTCGTTCATTCGCATCATGTTCTCGTTCATTAGCTTCATATTCTCGCTGTTGACATCCTTGGCGTCCTCATTGCGCGGACGTTCGCGGTCGTGTTACAGCTGGCTTCTTACGAGCCAGATATTCTACACGTTGTTCTCCCTGTCTCGCAATGTCGAGAGGTAGGGAAGTTTCAATATCGGTTGGTGGTTCGGGAGTGAGCATTGCCGTACTGCTGTTTGCTTTATGTGCTTCAGATAACTCGGGCATAAGCTTGGCATAAGCGGCTTTCAGCTCTCCTAGCTTCTGTTTTAACACAGCTATCCATTCTTATCAGTGTTGTAGAACTCACGCTTTTCCTTCGGCGTAGTTGTCCTGGCGCTTCTGACCACCCACATTCGGTCGCCTCCATTGTTCTGTCCCGCGAATCAAGCCGGTGATCCTGAGCGACTCCTGCTAGTGGTTGATGTCCTCGCAGACGTGCGGCTCCGAGATCAGGAGGGGGAGTGGCTGAGTGTCGACGTCTTCGATATAGATCAGCCTCGTTCTGTCTGTTAATCATCTTCGTCCAGCAGTGCCTGACCTTGATGCTCCAGTCGGGCTTGTTGTCGTTGTGCACCACTACATATGGGATGAAATATTGCTTGGAGTACACCTTGTCCACCGCCTTGTGAAGCCTCCGTACTGCTTGCATTGGGAATCATACACTGGAGATAAGGTTGGGTTAGCAATTCCGCAGCCTCTGAATTCGGTGCAGCCTAGATAAGTGCAAACGCCCCCACGGTAGCCGAGGTTCCCGCATACGTAGCATATGTCCACTTGTTTGCAATAGAGGGAGAAGGATACCAAAGTGGGTTCATATCTGATGAGTTCGGGACGCAAAGTCTCAATACACGCTGATTGATCTTGAGTTGTTGATTCTTTTCGCCCCAAGTGCCAAGGGGTTGTGGTGGTTCGCAATGTTTCTTACAAAAATCCGATGATCGTCAGCAGAGTCGATGTGTCGAATCACCCATTTGCAGGTGTCGCATGGAGCAGCTTCGTGAGTGCTTACTTCATAATCTTTTCTGTCTATCTGGATAGCCGCTACGCCCGCCTACTTATCTGCATTTTCTGTAAGCGGCGTGGTCACCTAATAATATCCTGCAAAATGTTGGGACAAATAATGCCCTGCCTGCAGTCTCAACTGGACCAATATTTGCTGCTGTTACGAGGGTTTGCTGACTAAGATAGGTCGGACCTTTTGTATGTTTACGCCACACTTTGGGCGAAACACTATCATGATGTTGTCTTTCGGTAGGGAAATGGCCTGCATGAGGCTCTGAGCACATGATTACTACAGGTAATATGCATGTAGGCAAACTATTCCATAACCTGATGGCTTGAGTTTCCAGGTGTGGTCGCTCACTCACGCAATCACTTATTTCAGGACTCGGGCGCCTCGTACCTCTATACTGATTAAACTTGTGCTTACACCGAAAGTTTGCTTTGAAGTGAAAGTGTGATGAGAACACCAATGGCACTTCGCTCGCCAGCGTAGCCGCGTTTAGGAAAGGCACGCGCTGCTCACGCACGAACATGTAAGAACGGTGGCAGTTCGCACTCGTCCAGGTGTATACCTGGGCATTCGTTTGGCGCGTCTTTCTGTCTGTTTGAGCAGCGTTCTTCGAGTGTAGAGCTTTGACAGTTGTTTGTTCACACTCGTTCTTGAAGGTGTACCTGTGCTTGCCCTTATTGATACTGGTGCCGCCATTTCCGTCATCGCCGAAAACGTTTGCCGTTCAATTCGAAAAGTGAAACGCCTTACTTGGGTTCGTGTCTTCGTACTGCCACTGCACAGCCTGTGCAGCCTGTGGCCGCGTGTACCGCCAGACTTGTAATTCAAGGGGTGCCCTACACAGTGCAGTTCGTATTACTCCCGCACTTTTCTGACGACATCATTTAAGGCTGGGATTCTCTCTAACATCACCAAGGCTTCATTGATTGAGTCCGTGCCGAAGTCGTCTTTTGTACCCTTGGTGATGCTCTACCTGCGGACGATTGCCTTTCCTACGCGAAGTTGGTCATTAGTTGACGACACCCAGATCCCTCTACGCGATGCTGTCTTCGCACGTGTGTCGTGTTCCACCGCCGTTGACACTACCGCATTCTTCACGCCTTCCATTGCTTCCGTTCATCGCCGCCTCTCACCGCTCCCAACCGCTCTCGTTACTCTTCAAGGTGGTGCAACCGACGTGCCTGTGGGGAATCCGTTCCCATTCACGATTACGCTGCTTCGGGGCGAATGTATCGGCTCAAAAGAAATATTCGAAACCATCGCTACACTTCACGTTCCTGATTAATCATCGGAAGTCAGCGCCCTCTCCTGTAGTTCCGGGAATGGCCCTTCCACTGCCGACATTCTCAACCTTGTAATCGACGAAGACCTAAACCCACAATAGAGGTGTGAGCTATTGAACCTCCTTGACAAGTTTCGGCCATCTTTTGACAGTCACAGCGCTACTTTAGGTCGAACATCTACTGTATGAAACCAGATCGACACAGGTAATCACCCACCACTACGGCAGCGACCACACCGTTTCGCCGACTGAACGCCGTGTCATCAATGAACAAGTATGTGACAAGCTAAAGCGAGGCGTCGTTCAACTATCGAACAGTCTTTGGGCGTCGCCGGTTGTTTAAGTTAAAAGAACGATGGCAAGATACGCATTTGCGTAGATTATCGTCGCCTAAACAAAGTAACACGAAAGCATGTTTATCGTTTGCCGCGAATTGATGACGCCCTCGACTGTTTACAAGGCGAAATGTTCTTTTCCTCCCTTGATCTACGCTCTGGGTATTTGCAAGTACCAATGAATCCAGATGATAGGCGAAATACTGCCTTTCTTACACCAGACGGCTTATACGAATTTAACGTGATGCCATTCGGCCTATGCAATGCGCCGGCAACATTTGAGCGCATGATGGACACTATCTTACGAGGCCTCAAATGGAACACGTGTTTGTGCTACTTAGATGATGTGGTGGTATTCTCGCCCGATTTTCCCACGCACCTTCATCGCTTGGAACAGGTTCTACGCTGCCTTTCTACAGTTGGCCTCCAACCAAACTTGAAGAAGTGTCACTTTGGAGCATGCAAGCTGACCATTCTCGGACACGTCGTGTGGAAGGATGGCGTTCTGCCTGACCCCGCTAAGCTACGTGCTGTTAGCGAGTTCCTGAGGCCCGCGCCTCTCAAGAAGCTGCGTAGTTTCATTCGGCTTTGCTCATACATCCGCTGCTTCGTCCGGAATTTCGCCTCGATCATGGCACCTCTGACAGACCTACTTCAGGGAGACCGCAATCTCTCTGCGCGGTCTCCAGCCCGTGACAGCGCCTTGGCAAAGCTCCGTGAACTGCTTATAACACCACCCATAGTGCAACATTTCGATTCAAGCGCTCCCACAGAAATCCACATGGACGCCAGTGGTGTCGGTCTTGGCACTGTACTCACACAACAAAAGCCTGGTTACCAAGAATATGTTGTTGCATACACGAGTCGCACTCTTACAAGAACAGAAGCAAATTATTCGGTAACTGAAAAAGAATGCCAAGCGATCATCTGGGCCATTACAAAATTTCGGCCTTATCAACAACAATTTCTTTATTTATTTACCAGACCAAACTGGAAGGTCGCCAAGGCTAAAAGCCGTGAGAAACGGCTTGACAAAGGCCCTGGTGACGGCCACCCTTACGATGTTGTAACGACCACCACGTGCTCTGCTGATTATCCTCCCTCAAGGATCTCTCCGGATGCTTGGTACGATGGGCTTTAGGACCCCAAGAGTACGACATCCATGTCATTTATCTCTCAGGCCAGAAGCATGCCGATGCTTCTTCGCGTTCGCCTGTTTCTACTGATACTGCGAGTGTCTCCATCCATACACTTATTTCTACTATCAGGACCCATCGACATGGCTGCGGAGTAGCGCAAAGATTCGTGGATTGCGTCTCTGATGGATTTCCCTATCTGAAACAATCGCCCGCCCGCCATCTCGAGCGCTACACCGACAAGCCTCTCACTTCGCCATCCGTGATGGAACACTTTATCGCCGCAACTACCACCCTGACAGCAGCTAATGGCTATACCCAGGCATCTCCGTGCCGGAATATGTGCTGCTTCCCATGCCGATCTGCAGTGTGCACACGCAGGTTTGCTTAAAACCTACGCCAGCCTACGTTTCTGGTTTTATTGGCGTGGCATGTACTCATTCGTTCAAAAGTACATTCGATCTTGCACAGAGTGCCAACGCCGCAAGCACGATCCTAGCCGTCCTAATGCACCAATGCAGCCGTTACCATGCCCTATGCGACCATTCGACCGGGTCGGAGTAGAACTTTATGATCCTCCGGCATATAAAGCAGCTGGGAATCACTGGATTATTGTAGCGATCGACCATCTCACGAGATATGCAGAAACGGCTGCTCTACCAGCCACGACGGCACTTGACGTTGCGTCTTTCCTGCTGCAACGTTTTGTTCTGCGTTATGGCGCTCAACCTGAACATTTGAGCGACCGAGGCCGCGTCTTTCTCGCAGATGTTATTCAAGAACTTCTTGCTGAATTCCTTGTGATTTATCGCTATACTACCACATATCGCCCAGAAACAAACTGCTTGACCGAACATTTCAACCGCACTCTTGGCAACGTGCTTTTATGTATGTCGCCTGCAACCACACCAACTGGGGTCTTATTCTTTCCTACGTGATGTAGGGAAGAATAATCTCCACCATCTCTAATCGACACCATTCTCCTCTACCGACCCGACTCATCCAAAGATACACTAGTTTCCGAAGCCGTTCGATATGCGGAAGAATGTCGGCAATTAGCTCGCACCCTCACAACACAAGAACAAGGGCTACAGCAATGTCGTCACGACGATAAACGGTCCCACTACAAGTTTTCGCGCAACTCTCTTGTTTGGCTGCGGGTGCCTCCCAGTGCTGCTTCTGGTGCCTCTACAAAGTTCGTCAGCAGGTACCATGGGCCTTATCGCGTCCTAGAGCAAACTTCCGCTGTCAACTACCTCATCAAACCCCTCACGCCCACTAGGAACCTGGGTCGCCAATGACTCTTTTATTTAAATTAGTCATTTGATTGATTTTTGCGCACCTCAAGCAGAGGTGCGCGAAGCAAGTTTTGAGCATCTCGCCGTTCTTCGCGCGACAGTGCAGTTTATTGCTGTAGCATTCATTCCTTCGCCTTTGTGTTGAAACAAAGCGTGTTAAGAAAAAAAATGTTGAATGATTTCGAGTACTTCGTAATTCACTATGAAAGAGCACTGAGCCGTCCCGCTGAACAACGCACAATAAACGCTCAACTATCTCTGTGAGGATGCGTTTCCCTTGCCTGTAAATACATTTCTAAAGAAAAGAATCAGCCACGTTTTTTTGTTGTTGTTCCTTTCGAGTTTGTACACTTAGTCTAAACACCTCCATAAGATCCATTGATTTCGTCCGCCACGTGGTCATCTCTTGCAATAATAGATACGTCTCTTAATTGAAAGAGCTTGTTGTTGGGCTAGTTGGTACAACATTAAAAAAAATAAGTCCAGTGTGAACACACGGCACAATCACTCACACGCAAACACACACACCCTGAGTGTGTGTGGTGTTTGAGTGATTTCGTCGTGTGTTCGCGCTTGGTTTATTTTTTTGAAATCTTTCACTTAAATTAGTCACTTGATTGATTTTTGTTTTACTTGTGGTGACGCAGGACATTGGGCTCCCTATGATCAATTTTACGCACCTGAAGTGGAGGGTCGCGAACAATGTAAGTAAATCAAAACTCAAATGTCTATAACTACGATGCTTTGAACTCGTCAACTAGGCTATGTAGCTCTTTCGTGCTCGTCGTTAAACGGATGAATTAGTACCCTTACCTAATTTTCTCGTAGCACCGAAACAGGAACATTATCAATTCTATTGTCTGAAGTAGTACACATCCTGCTTACTCTACGTTAAGGCTCCATGCCGAGTTCATACAGGTTGCCCAGCTAACTGTGGCCACAGTTAAAAAGTACGCTTATGCACTCTGTGCCTACGCGCATAAATGCTTAATGCTGTATATTGCAGGAGTAAGCATTTTCCGCACTTAATGTTATAGCCTAAAAAAGCAAGAACATAATGCAAGTTTGGAGCGATGAAGTCAGACAAAAAAGCTAATGAGATAGTTCCTTACGAGTTAGACTAATTGGTTTAGCCTAAGATGCGTGACTAATTATGTGACCCGTCTGTGCAAAAAATATTAGTGTTCTGCTGCTTATCACATATTTGAAAAAAAAATATCCCTCAAAAATAAATTTTGCCGACTTTTCGCATGTATCACCAACATGAGCAAGTCTATAAAATGACGCAACCAATGTTTCCTTTCATTCAATTTAATATTAGTGTGAACAATGCGAAGTTTATTGATTATCCAGGCAAATACAAATAGATCTCTGAAGAATGCTCCCAAATTAAACATCACGATATTTTACTCATGCTCCCAAATTCTTAAGTACAAACAATGTTCTGTTGCTCGCTATGTTGCGAATCAGTCACCTTCTTCACATAGATGCGCCGCTCATTTCAATTCATCAATAATACTGCAATATACTTCTGGTGACGTACACCATAAAAATTTTTTCCAACACGTAATCACACAAAGCATACTTTTTTGTAAGAAAAGAAATTTAAAAGCATTTTGCAGATCCCACGACATGTGGGAATCGTTTTCACGAAAATCCCTCAGCGAGTAGCGATATGATTCATTTTTTTTCGGCTTTCAGCCAAGCGTTACAAGGCGGATCAACGAGTCTTTTAAGCGTAGTAGTCGTTTTGTGACCATTGCGGGCTTATCAACAGGCACATTGACAATACTGACATCTAAATGGTTTTTTTCTTGTTTAACTAAAGTTTGCACGAACTTTAGAGCATATATGCCAGTGCTCAGAGGATTTAAACGTGAATACTGTACTGTTATGAGAGAGGCACCACCGGTTTCTTGGTATAGCGCGTTGCGAGGGATAACCCCGCAAGAAGCAGTGGAGAAACAAAAATCAGCCAGAAGAGAACAAAATGTTTATATTTACAACGTATGTACAGAACGTGGAGGAGCAAGCCGCTGACGCCAGATGCGCCGAGGCGTTTGAGGAGGAGGATGCACCACCGTCATGGAGACTTGTCCAGCGTCTCTGTAAGACGTGCCTAGTGGCTCCGACGGACGCATCAAGCATTTCTTAGAGGGAAGGGTGGGGACAAACAACTTTATTGATGGCATAGCAAGGTCGATAAACTTAATTTGCTGGTGGTTCGACGGATTGTTGCCAAAAGCTTGCCACGACCGTTTCGGTCCAGTGAACTACTTCTGCCTGAAGACGGTAGTCAGCTGACGACAGGAGCGACTCCCACTCCCCGAGGAAGGAAGCTGGCAGTATTGTTCTTGGTGCGGGGTTACCCTGGCATTCTCGAAGAATGTGATTTTGGGTAGCTTTCACGCAGCTGCAATGTCGGCAGTTTGGTGTAATCTCCTCTGGATAAATTTTAGACAAACGATGAGGGCTGGGCAAAGAATCTGTTTGGATTCGCCTCCAGATCGTGGCCTGTTCTCTTGACACATCTGCATGCGGGGCCACGCATGTTTGCGGTTCTCTCGGTAATACGCTGTAATTTCGTTATACGTGGTGATTCTTTCCTGCGGGAAGTGTAGGGTGGAGGGGTCCACGTCCCGGTTGATCAAACCTCAGGCTACTTGGTGGGCCGCCTAATTCTCTGGATTCTTTGCGTGAGCGGGCACACATATAAGTTGTATTTTATTGTCTCGTTTCTTATTATTGATGATGTTGGCCGCGATCGGCCCAACACAGCCCATCGTAAAATTCATGAGTGCTCTTTTCGAATCACTCAGCATAGAATCGGTAGCCGGAATTGAGGTGGCCAGCGCGATGACGGCTTCTTCTGCCTCTAATGCTGAGACGGTTTTTACGGTGGCTACAGTAATAAGTTCCCTATTCCCGGTCACCGCGCATATGGTGTAACGGTCTCTCGCTTGTCGATAGACGTAAACATACAGAACGTTTGGGCGATCCTGAAATTGTTTTGCGAGGTTTTCTGCTCTTGCCTTTCGTCTCTCGTCATGCATTCCTGCCAGCATATTTTTGGGCAGGGGTTTAATTACAATGTCTGCACGAGTTGCCGCTGGCAGGAAAACCTTGTTGTTGAGCGTGCAACTAGTGCGTTGTTCGAGACGGTTGAGTATGTAAAGCCTGCGTTGGTCCGTGAGAGCCTTTCTTATTGGGCCGTTAAATGTCCTTCTATTAGTTCCTCCACTGTGTTGTGGATACCAAGGCACAGTAGTTTTTCTGTGCTTGAGTATCTGAGAAGTCCTAGGGCACCTTTATACGTTTGTCAAATTAGGGAGTTTTTCCACATCCTTCTTTCCGAGTTGGTAGTAGGGGAATGAGTCGGTGACTCGACTGATTACAAAAGTGTGGATTAACTTGCATAGGTCGGATTCCTTCATTTCCTGATTTTTCATTGCCACTCTCCTTAGAAGCGTAGTCGTTTGCTGTACGGATGCCTGTAACTTGTTGATAGCTTTTGTGTTATGAGTGTTTTGCTGGATGAGCACCCCTAAAACCCTGGCTGTGCGAACAGCGGGGACAACGTCTCTATTTACTGTGATATCTATTGCGGAGCACACTCCACTGTAGGAGTCATTCTTCTTGTTTTTGGTTCTGATTACTAAGAGCTCGGATTTGTTGGGAGAACAACTAAGGCCCACTTTCTTTACGTACTCCTGTACAGTGTCGGCAGCTGTTTGCAAAGCGTCACAGATTTGCCCATCTGAGCCTGTGCAGGTCCATATCATCAGCGTACAGTGAGTGCCTATTGTGTGGGATCTGATCCAAGAGAACGGGCAGGTCTACACATCGTAATTTTAAAGAGGAACGGGGATAACACGGCTCCTTGTGGAGTGCCCCATGTTCCAAGAGTGATTTTGGCGCTTTTGAGGTCGTCAATGGTGAGTTCAGCCATGCGTTCATGCATAAAAGTTCTGACATAAATGTAAGTGCGACTGCCGACGTTCATTTGGGCCAAGTGGTCATGTACAGCAGAATGGGACACATTATCAATGCTTTAGTGATATCCAGGCCCAGGATGGTCCTGGTAGCCACTGTGTGTCTTGGATTTATTATACCATTGAAAGTTGCAGCATTATATCCTGTGTGGATAATTGCTGGCGGAATCCCGCCATCGTGGGTGGTAGCAGGTCCCTCGACTCTGCATAAGCTGCTAGCCGTCGTAGAATAGCGTGTTCTATTACTTTCCCTGAACATGATGTGAGGGAAATAGGCCGAAGATTTTCCAGACTCAATGTCTTGCCCTGATTGAGATTAAATATTAGTAGAGCATGTTTCCAACTTGGCGGTAGTGTCCCAGATGCCCAATGTTTGTTCATAAGGTCCGTAATGGTCGTAATAGACTTATCGTCTAGGTTACGCAGTATTTTGTAGAAAATTTGATCATCTCATGGGGAAGCCGTCGTACGAATACTATTCAAATGAGCACGTATTTCCGCCTCGGTTATATGCCAATCTAGCTCATGGTTAGTATTTCCAGATATTCAGGCATTTGTGACGAGTCTACTTGTGTGTTTAAATACCTGTTTTTAAGTTCTTGCCCTAATTCATGGTTGGTTCCCGTGTATTTGTAAACGAGATGATGCATTTTATTGCGCGACGTGCTTTTAGTCTGCTCAGGATCCAATAAGTGCATGAGGAGCTGCCAGATGTTTTGTTTCTATCTATCTATCTATCTATCTATCTATCTATCTATCTATCTATCTATCTATCTATCTATCTATCTATCTATCTATCTATCTATCTATCTATCTATCTATCTATCTATCTATCTATCTATCTATCTATCTATCTATCTATCTATCTATCTATCTATCTATCTATCTATCTATCTATCTATCTATCTATCTATCTATCTATCTATCTATCTATCTATCTATCTATCTATCTATCTATCTATCTATCTATCTATCTATCTATCTATCTATCTATCTATCTATCTATCTATCTATCTATCTATCTATCTATCTATCTATCTATCTATCTATCTATCTATCTATCTATCTATCTATCTATCTAGCCGCCTATGACATTTAGCTCTCCTGCCCGTTTCGATAATGGTATCTTTACAAAAATTCGTATGCCATTACATGAGTGTGAGACGAGCGTAACTTACTAGTCATAACATGAAAATCATGATATGTATGTCTTGAGCGTCACGATTTACAATTCATAGTCTTGCTGCTCTTGCGGTGGGTTCGTTCACATGACATATTGCAAAACTGGTATGGTATTGGCGCGCTTCTTTCTCGAGTTTTCTGATCTGCCCGTAACCCTGTACCCAATTCTCAGTGCAAACCACGCCAACAGTATTCGAGAACTTTCAGGACTGCAGTAGATCATTTTGTTTAGATTACACCCACTTTGTGAGCATCTCAGATTATTCTGGAACCTACGTCGCCGCTAGCCATAACACTATAATGTTCGGCGGCAAGTGTATAAATGCCGACACGCTTCGCCGCTTGTCAGTTGATCGACGGCCGACGCTCAATTCGTTGATATCAGTGCGAGTGCCTTGCTGTAACCTCAAGTTCCTCTTGTGTGGCCACAAGTTCGGCTGAATAAACAGTCTAATCTTCAACCTACAGTCTATGCCCTTCGTCGTCGTCACGACCCCGTGAAAGCATGACATGAGTGCATGGCGAACATAAGAGACATACACTAACGTGGAAATCATGACACCCATGTCCCGTAAGTCATGACTACATGCCACACTCATGGTGCCCCAATGATCGCTTCACTATATCTTCTCATATACCAAATTTAGTACTACGTGTGGTAAATGAATGGCGGAGTTGTGGAACTGGGGCAAACATGATATTCATAAGATGAGTGTCACATAAGAACATGACAACATACCATGCTCACGATGCGCTCGTGACCCTTCCACTCGCGTCACTTATACGAAAATTGGCATTATGTGACGTGCAAAGAAAATAGATGACACGTGCAAACCTAATAATCATGACATGCGTGTCATGTAAAACATCACTACATGCTACGGTCATAAGACGTTTGCGGCCGTTTTGCTACCGTCACGAATACCAAGTTTGACATTACGGGACGTGAATGGGTGGTGAATTTAAATAGTACGTCCGAACATGATAATTATGATATGCGTGTAAAATAAAACATGACTACATGCTACGCCCATAGCGCGATTACGGCTGTTTCGCCAGCTCCATTTATACCAAATTTGGTTTGACGTGACCTAAACAGAAGGCGAAGTTATATGACACGCGCAAACACGATAATCATCACATGCTTGTCATGTAAAACTTAGCAACATGCAACGCTCATAGCGTGCTCGCGACCACTTCGCTAGTTTCACATATACGAAATTTGGTATTGCGTGGCTTGAATGGACCACAAACACAAATTCCAGGCGCTAACAGGATAATCATGACATGGAAGTGATGTTCGGCATAATGTACATCCACCTCCTAACGTTGTGCTGATTTTAAAGCACACATGGACCTTCCTAATTCGTTCTCGTATATCCTCATTTCCCACTGTGCGTAGGATCTGCCAATTTTGTTTGTCCACATTGTGCCCTCCCACACTTTTAATTGCGCGCGTTAGTTGTCAAAATGTTTAGAACATGAGGTGAAAATTCTTTAAAACAGTAAACGTCAAACACAAAGCACGTGAAAATAGTCTCTTTCACATTTATTGGACTGAATAAAGTTATGTGTTCAATTGCTATTGTTCTCTTTGAGTACCTTACCTGTCATTTCATGAGAATGGTGGCATGCATTATCTTCATATCCGATATATTTATTTGTTACGCATGTATTCTGCAGCATTCCCGGCCCAGGACCCTGGTGAGGAGGATCTAGAACACCAAGGTGTGCAGGCTCGATGTGAGTGAACTTTAGCGCCAAGTCGTACTGCCGAAACACCAAGACTTAACACTCCACGAATTCTCACCTTGCAGACTAAATGTTTTGTCACATAAACGAAAAAAATTGAGGCAATCACGTGCGTTACCTCGTGAATGAATGACTGAAAGCATGTTTATTCCACTTTGTCCCAGGGCGCTGCAGTGTACAATGACAGGGCACTATAGCAGGTTAACTGTTGAAGATGCTTCGTTGGAGGGACGAAATTAATCGAGAAGTCATACTGTCATCAGTAACATTAGCATAGGACTAGCAATAGCTTGATATTTAGCAGTAGTAGCGCCGCACACCTCATTTAAAGGGTGAGTGAAATGTTGGTGGGCGGTTTTTCACTGTCGCAGCTAGCAGTTTTATGCGGTCAACGCTGCTTTGCGTTATGAATGTGCTGCCATTGTTCTTGACGATGCCGCTGTCCACCCGTGTTGAAGTATACTGATTCAGTTTTTAGTGGCGAAACATTTAAAAGTTGAGCGATGTCCGCCATATCACTATATGACGAAAATGCTGAGGTTGGTGAAAAACAAGCGCCTTCCAGATCAAGCATTCTCTTTGTGACATAACAACACAGCACATGCATCGTACACTCTACGCCAAAAGGGAGCAAAGGGAGTACAGGGGTTGCTCCTACCCGAAGCAATGGCATTGTCATTCCCATTACTCCCCTAAAAGGTGTAACTGCAGAGCGACGAACCATTGCTCTCCTTTCAGTTCCTTCTTTGAAGGATGAACAGTTACTCCCTTCAGTTGCTCCCTGTGGACTAACCATTACTACCACCAGTTGCTCCCTTAAGCCCAACGGCTAGTCTCGACCGTTACTCCCGCGTGTTGGCAGTTACTCTCTGAGGCCCAACTGCACATGCTTCTATATACTCCTCGGGGAAATTAATATTTATCTCGAGTATGCTTGTCACACACTTTACACATGGCGAGAGCTCCTTGGCCGAGCCCTGCTTGGGTGCTTGTAACACAAAAAGTGGACGAAATCGAAAGGAAAAGAAGTGGTTTATTGTTTTTCTTCTTTTTCGAGGTGACGTGTCAGCACACGTAGAAGTAGACTTTGCCACACCACAGCCAACACTAACCAAGTGGCATAATACATCAAAGGTTCTGTGCGTCTTCTGTGAAAAAACAATCTTAAATTCCCAGCGTAAGGCAGTCTGTGTCATCATTGCAGAGAGAAGGGCGACTTCTTGAATTGGGAAGGAATCGAGTTGCGCAAGACTGGTGTTACCATCAAGCTAGCACAGTGGCATGTCACCGCAGGCATATGCGAAGCATCTCATTACTGCAAGAGAAAATGGAAGTGTGAGGTTTAACATGCCAAAATCAATAGATAAGAATGTCACACACACACACACCACAGCAGCGTTTAATTTCTAGGAAGTCTACTTCAAAACGAAGTGTCAAAAAAATGGTAGGTTCGGCCAAATGTTACTTGACAAGCCATATGAATGCTGATGTTGTGGATGCTCTTTGCATGATGTCTCTTGCAAAGATAGCACGATTTTGCAGAAAATGTGGAGCACTTCAAGAAGGCAATATATTTGTAGCAGCTAAAGCTGTGTAGCACCGTAGCAGTTAACTTGTTTCCCATACACAGCAGCGTGACATTTTCATGAGCCTGCTCACCAGTGGGCATTCTAAGCGAAATCTTATGTGTGGCAAATAACACTTACCGTCCGCTCATGTTAAAATATTTATTCAGCTCGTGCACATACTACTCTCGATTCTACTGTTCTGTCATACGCTGCTGCGTCATTTAATGTGCGATACCCGCAGGCACAAGCCAAGCATGCAAAGCATGGTCGAAATAAACCTTTTCCAGCGGCTACAGGAAGATATTCAGTAAATTTTTCAGTAGCTGACGGCTGGACAAAACTATACACACAAATAAACATAGACAGTGCTACCTTCAGACAATGCTTTAGGAATAGAAAACAAAGTTAACATAGATTTAATTATTTATTTATTTCAGACATACTGCCAATCCCAACGGAGATTGTTGCGGGAAGAGCATACAAAGAATAAATATATACTAGAATGTTCAATTCGAAGCTGACGATTTGGTGTATTAACAAGAACATTGGACGTGAACTTTAAAAACACACCTAGAAAGTAAAAAAATGCATTTATACAAAGGTTACTCACGCGGCATGCAAAAGAAATCCTAATCATAAAGGAATGGTATACATAGGTATAATGTGAATCGCTCGTTTCAGAATGAAAATAACATCATTACATGGTGCAAATATAGTAAGGTTACTACTATACATAGAGTTCATGTTTGAGAAACACATGGGTGGTTCTGAAGAAGTGACAGGAAGTTATCTTCGTTATTACAAGTAGTTATGTATGTAGGCAAACTATTCCATAACCTGATGGCTTGCGTTTCCAGGTGTGGTCACTCACTCGCGCAAGCACTTATGTCAGGATCCGGGCACCTCGCACCTCTGCTGATTAGACTTGTGCTTCCACCGAAAGGTTTCTTTGAAGTCAAAGTGGTTAAAGAGAACACCAATGGCACTTCGCTCGCCAGAGCAGCCGCGTTTAGGAAAGGCACGCACTCCTCATGCACGAACATGTAAGAACTGTGGCAGTTCGCACTCGTCCAGGTGTATGCCTGGGTGTTCGTTTTGTGCGTCTTTCTTTCTGTTGGAGCAGCGTGCTTCGAGTGTCGAGCTTTGACAGTTGTTTGTTCGCACTCGTCATGTGTGTGGTAATTTCGTGCTTGCGTTCTGCTTTAGGGTGCACGCAGCAAGTTTTGAGCTCATCGCCGTTCTTCGCGCGACAATGCAGTTTGTTGCTGTAGCATTCATTAGTTCAACTTTGTGGTAAAACAACACACAATAAACGCGCAACTACTTCTGTCGAGACGCGTTTCTCTTTCGTGTTAAATATATTCCTGAAGAAAAGAATCAGCTACGTTTTTTTGTTGTTGATCTTTTCGAATATGTACGCTTAGTCTAAACACCTCCCTAAGATAATCTGATTTCGCCCACTATGTGGTCATCAATTGCAATAATAGATACGTCTTTTATTTGAAAAACTTGTTGTTGAGATAGCTGAAATTATTTCAAAAAATTAAACACACACACACACACACACCCGGGGTGTGTGTGTGTGTGCGTGTTTGATTGCGTCGTGTGTTCGCACTTGATTTAGTCTTTTAGAAGTCTTTTATTTGAATTAGTCGTTTGATTGAATTTTGTCGAATCACAAAATTCAAGTATTTGCTTACGTACTTAACTGGCAGTGCTAAACGGTCAATCGTAGGAATCCAGTTAGCCGAACAGAATTACGACATCACTATTGCAACGCTCATGGATCGTTTCTGATGGCGAGATCTTTTTATCAATGAGCACATGGATCATCTTTTGTAGTTTACTCCTTTGAAGAGCGCATCAGAAGTTGCTAAACTTCGCACACTTCACGACAATGTGCTGTTCCGAGTGGGCGCTTTAGAAGGTCTCGGCGTGTCCTCGGATCAATACATCGTGGTAATAAATCGGGTAATGGTGCGCTGCTTGCCAGACGATATGGGTATCATGTACCTACCGACAAAGGATGAAAGAGGATGACTGTGCCAATAGTGGGACGGAGACTTCCGAACACAGACTGCGCCGAGCGAAGGACCTGTTGACATTTGTTCGCATTCAGGTAGAACTGCGGGAGGAATGTCGCCTGCAACCACGTGGCCATGCTGTCTTCACCTGCGAAGCAGCGGCGACGTATTCTAGAATATATGAAAAAAAAATCTTGCATAGGATGCCAGTATGCCTGAAGATGAACAGGCTGAATGAAATAGTTGATGTTCTGAGCTGTCTGACTCGTCCGCCACTATACCATGACATATGTCCTTATCAAATAAAAATAAGCCCTTCCTATTTGAGCTGCACATCATTGCAGATGCCAGTCCTAGAGCATACGGTACTTGCATTTATTACGAGTGAACTCGCTACCTGAAACGTGCTTCACGCGACTCTTTTCAGCAAAGGCCGACTTGCTCCTTTGATAAGAGTATCGCTTCCACGCCTGGGGCTCCTGGCATGCCCCATCATGGTGCGGCCTATACGCTACGTGCAAAAAGTTCCTTTTTTCCAACATGTCACTGCTGCCTTTTGGACGGACTCGCTTGTGGCACTAAACTGGATAAAGAGTTCAGGGACCAAGCTGGAACCATTTGTACCACACCGTGTCACCAAAATCCAGCAGCATATCAGACCTTCCCAATGATTTCACTGTAGCAGCAGAGAGAATCCCGCCGATGTCATCGCTCGGGGACTATCACTTTCAGATATTACCAAATTGTTCAAGTGGTGGCATGGCGGAAGCTGGCTGTGTCATAAAACAAGGTCTTACGAAGGTATAGACGTCAGCGAATCTAACGAAAAATAATTGTTCACCAAAGTGCAGCAACCGAAGAATGATCGAGCATTTTCTGCAGAAATTACATTCGTTTGTTCATTCGCCAATAATGTTCGCCACGGTGTCGTGTCCTTGAAAAACTACAGCTATTTACCAAAACTGCTAAGAGTAACTGCATAGGTTCAGCTATTCAACCACCGCGCAAGATGCTTCTCATCAGCGTCTGGTCCTCTGACAGATAAGAGGTATTTCAAGCTGAGCATTATTGGTTGCATATAATGCAGGAAGTCCCAATCCAAGTCCCAGCGCTGTAGAAAGCTCTGCCATTACCTTCAACATCCCTTGTACTTCGTTTGTGCCCGTTTATTGATGAGGACTACATACTTCGCGTCGGTGGGTGACTGCAAGAGCTGCAGGCTGAACAGGACATTCGTAACACCATCCTACTATCAAGTGACCATAAGCTAACCAGCTTGCTTGTTATGTCAGCACATATACGTACGATTATCGGTGGTGCTGAAGCAACCCTTATTGAGCTTCGAGAGCGTTTCTGGTTATTGAGAGGGTGTCAAACCGTAAAGAGGATTATTTTTCAA